TGCAGGCCGACACATATATGACCATATGAACCACTTTGTGCCAGCGTTCCCAATACTGGAGACCTTAGGAGCTGGGCCTTGCAACAAAAGGCCGTACCTGGAACAAAAGACCGAGCTGCTGGGAATTGCCAACATTTTTTAAGTTGTCAATAGCGGAGGTAATCCATCGTTGTTTTCAAACAGTATACCACTATCTGTGGCATTCATTGCGAGCGGATTACAACTAGGAACAAAAACACTCCAACGCCCCAGCAATGAGCGATACAATGCCGCTGCATGCTAATCTGGCCGCATTTGAAAAGAGTGGCAGGGCTGGCTGAAATACTCGGGCATCAATAGATGTTGCCTGTCAGATTAGAGTAGCTGCCAGACAGTCATTCATGTGGGTGTAAACGTCCAGTAAATGAAGTTTTGAATTTTTGAAGAATTCTGAAAACGGGAAATCTTGAAAATGCCCTGGGATGTTGTCATGCAACTTCAATTTAGACCCGGCAGCATATAGTTAACAAAACCATGTGCCGAATGGAATTGAAAGCTCAAGGATGAAAGCCTTTGCAAGCATATTTCATGTATAAAAGGTCAGGCTTTGTGACAGCTGAGTTCTTTAGGAGGGGGTCAAATCTGAAAAAAATTTGAAAAAGCCCAGTGGTTTTATAATAAAAGTTCAAATTCTTTTTGGGTCATCCTGACGTACTTGATATCTGCATTTTCCTCAATAATCGTCCGCACTATTTTGTCCTCCTCTTCCTTCAACTCTTCCTGTCCGGACAAATTAATAAAAATTTACAAAGAGGAAAAGCATGCTTGGCAGAGATTCGTTACTGGAGGTACAGGTGCATCTTATGGAATGAAAGTGTACAATTCCGCATCTCTAACAAAACGTGACCCACTCTGTGAAAATGAGCCACAAGTCAGCAGACTCACTTTGGAGTAAAAAGTCCTTTAGAATAATTTTGCACAGTAAAATCAATAGGAACCCACAGGATTTTTCACCATGGAGTATCCACTTCCATCAGGATGCCAAACTGATTGATATATCAAAACAAAAAACCTCAATTTACTCTTTCCAATACAAATGAAAACTCAAAAAGTGGCTCTGGCGACTTACTTTCACAGAACGGGTCACAAATACGGGGCTGGCTTTGCATTTAAATAGGTGCACCGGTTACCTGGAAAGCACCTGTTTTCTAGCTATTGCTGAAGTAGAGTTTTTCTGATAGTTTCTGATTTCTGGTGTTTTTAAATGGACTTGATGTTAGGGAAATTGTGGGTACTGACGATGATACAAAGGGGAAGAAAACAAACAGCATGGTAAACATTTTGGTGAACATAACTTCAGGTCTACCAAAGGTCCGACTACTTCTTGTGACACGAACACCACGGACAGAAGCCAAACAGCCGCAGAGAGTTTGCGACTCATTTTTAAGCATGCCTAATGCAAAATAATCAGGGCAAAGGCTGCGCGCTACTTGTGCTGTGGACATGATTGGGATATGCACCCCTGCGCAGGTGCAGTGATATCTATCTGCCTCACCTTCGATTTCTTGCTCTTCCTCTTGCCGGTATCCAACAGCCCGTCCCTCCTGGCTTGGTCTAACGCCTGAAAAAAAGGGACACCGAGTCCTACCTGAGGTTTCTTGTACTAGTACTTGAGGTCATCCGATGAAAGCCCAGTCACAAGGGCACTCACAAGGCAAGTCACAAAACCACACGCAAGGCCAGTCTCAGACCACACGCAAGGCCAGTCTCAGACCACACGCAAGACGAGTCTCAGACCACACGCAAGACCAGTCCCAGACCAGATGCAAGACCAGTCCCAGACCAGTCTCAGACCACACGCAAGACCAGTCCCAGACCACACGCAAGACCAGTCCCAGACCAGATGCAAGACCAGTCCCAGACCAGACCTAAGACCAGTCCCAGACCACACGCAAGAACAATCCCAGACCACACGCAAGACCAGTCTCAGACCACATGTAAGACCTGTCTTGGGAGTCTTAATGACAACACCGCTCCTGGATACTGATTTCTTTTCTCATATGACTGGAAGTGAGAATTCATAAGTGTCTCTAGAAAAAAGAGGCTCCCGAAAAAACTTGGAGGACCCCCCCTTAATGTTGGGTTGAATGATGGTTCGGTTGGTGGAGCACTTGTACTCTTACCCGTATTCTGTATTTCGGAGAGGAGGCCAAGTAATCGATGGCTGATTTGTAGCGTGACCACCAACTGAAGTACTGGGAGAAGAAAAACAGAAATGCACAATTTAGATCGCTGCTCTGGGAAACCCACTTCACGAATTAAAAAAAAAAAAAGGCCAAAAGCATCGGGAGGTACATGTAAATAAACAGACCTCAAAAAGAGAGTGTGCATTTAACAAAACATGTTCGTAGCAGTCAAAAGTACTATTAACTGCACCACGGGCATGCTGATGGTAAGGCAGGAACTCTCTCATCACAGGGCAAGGCAATGTCTCATTTGCAAGGGGCACTTGTATCAGAAAATCAACTTCCCTGTGGGGGACGTTTCGATGGGCATTGAGGCAAAGACCAGGGGCATCGAGGCAATTGCCCGTAATGCCTCCATAAAGTTCCTGCCCCGCGCGCGTGCTTTACTGCAGCAGAAGAGTGTCTGGTCGAAACATTCTTACTACGGGGGAGTCTGGGATGGCAAATGGAAAAGCGGGAAAATTCATGGGAAAATAACTGAACAATGAAATAAAAACCAGCCATCCTTGGTGCCTAAAGTGACCATTCCGTAGGAAGGGGAGGGGGGGTGAGCTCACCGTTGGAGGTTAGAGTTTCATCCTGATTTCGACGGAAGAAACCGAAACCTATGCTTGTGTGTTTGGTCAACTACAGGTACCTGTATGGCAGAAATGACAGAGATTGTGACAGCAATGACGATACGGACGTCCACCTTGGGAGCAACTCGCCGCCGGTAGTATCTGTAGTAATGGCCGTAGTATTCCTCTGTAAAGGAAATGAAAATATATGAAATAAGAGAAAAAAAAGTTAGTCAGATTACCCCGAACCCTCCAGCCTACTTTGGCTAGAAACTCGGCCCGACACATCAGTCTTGCATTTATACTTGCCAAAGTGGCTTGCCTGCCTAGTGTAGCAGGATTGGACTTGTCAGCTCTCCCCAATGGCCAAACAGCCTGGGAGTATGTGGTTGCCA